CAACTCAGGAGCTCAGACCAGAAAGGTTGAAGGCAGGATTGGCCTTGGAGGATTTCCATTGCTAGGAGAGTACAGTGGAGGAAGAGAGGGAGCAAAGGTGTTTGCAGGAGAAAAGCACAAAGGCAGGCAGTGGAACTGGGGCTCAGAAGGGTTGTGTAACTTTCTCAAAGTCACACAGCCAGTAAATGGTTGGGAACCAGATTAGGGAAAGTAATGCACCTCTGATGTATGGTATTCAGGGATCTGGCAGGAAAGATGACATACCCCAGTTGAGTAATTTGAGGGGAGTGTAATAATTTGAGGAAGACAGAACACACAGGAACAGCACTGTGCCTGGGCCCCCTAGTAGGTGATGGGGACAGCCATGCCAGGACCCAGCGACAGCATGGCTGCGTGGAGAGGGCCTCCCTGTCACGTCCAGGAAGGGAAGCAGCCAGCCTCTGATGGTCCAGCCAAGAGGGAGCACGGGCATGAGGACCCCTGCCTCAGTTTCCCCACCATTCCCTGCCCCAGTGTTCCCTGGAGGACAAGGAAACCTCCAGACTCGGAGCAAGGTACGTTGAGGAATCAGCGCACAACCTTGACTTCTCCGGACACAGGTCACCGAACCAGTCAGGGCGTCCAACTTCTTTTCGCTGTAGGGTAAGAGCAATCACCGTCTGTGATTTGCAGAGCTCTTCCTGCAGCCGGCGCTTTACGTCATTGACCCGCCGCCTGTCAATCACCCCAGCGTCCTCGGGTGGGTCCCACCTAGGCTGGGCCAATACGCGCTCCAGTAGGCCCAGTGGGAGCGCAGCGCTGGGAAAGGCTTCCTACCTCTGGCGAAGCCCTCCAGCCACTCTTACTGGAAATTTCGAACCCCGCCTGCGCCTGGCCAAGCGGCTGCCTCAGGCCTGGGCAGGTGCCCGCCTCTGGCAGGTAGCTCCCCGCGCGCAGAGCGGCGCCCTCCATCCCAGGAGGAGATGGGGGTGCCGTGGCCGCCTAGACACCCGGAGACCTGGGAGGCCATGGAAGCTCCGGGGGGCACCGGGAGGCGCCGCAGCAGCCCAAGCGGAGGGGAAAGTCTCCTCCCCCGAGGGCGGGTTGACCTGCCGGCCGCAGCAGCCAGCGATCTTCTCTTCCCACCACTCGGCGGCTGTCAGAGCGCCCCCTGGCGAGCGGGCATCGGAGGCGCGGCCGCGACCGGGCTTTGAGCCTCCCGCCGCCCGGAGGAGGAGGAAGCAGGGGGCTTGCAGCTGCAAACCCGGTGGGAGGCCACCACGCTGCGGTGCGGGGGTGGGATGGGGGGGGCCGAGAAGGGGGAGGAAGGTCCGAGTTCCGGTGCCGGCCCCGCAGGGAGCAGCGGTGGGGCACCGACCCGGGAGGCTGTGGGTCACTAGGAGGAGCTGGCAGGGGGGCTGCGGAGGCCTCCCTTTCCGAGGCCAGGAGGAGAGAAACTTCAGGCGGAAGGTACCGCGGCGATCTGTTGGCTCAAGTCCCCTCTTTTACAGACGGGGAATTTTAGGGCCCGGGAATGACCTTCCTGGGTCACCTGGCGGGCCGTTGGCAGCAGGACCTTGGGAAAGAGGACAAGGGACTGCCCCCAAAACCCCGTACTTCTGCGGCCGGGTTAGAACCCTCAGAGGCCCCAGGTGAGCCTCCCCCCCCCCCCAATTAGGTAATCCCAAAGAAACCAACCAAAATAAAACATGAACCTTACTAGGTTGCTCAAATTGAAGTTGTTCCTTTCCAGGTTTTCCGAATGCAAATATTTTGCATAATTTGACCAAGGGTTAAACCTTTCTCCAGTTGTGAGCGGCGGCGCTTTGCTGCTGGCCTGGATCGGGCGTGGGGGATCCCCAGCACTGCTGAACAGTATTTAAGGACAGGAGCTCAAACTGGGTTCACGGTCAGCTTTGCCACCAGCTCTGAGCAGGGGTGAGACTCGGGTTCCGCATCTGCAGAATGGGAGCATGGAATAGCTGGCGTTGGCCCAGGGCAGAGCCTCTGGCGGCAGCCAGGCATGGGGGTTTTGGGGCGCATTCCGAGCCCAGTGGACCAACCAGCCAAGTGGACGAAAGGGTCAAAGCGGCGGGTCACAGCCCAAGCGCTGCTCAAGCCGCGGATGACCCGCCGACCTCCGGCGGCTGGGGGCACCAAGAATTCCCGCTTTGTTCTGGTGGGGATTGAATGCGCGCCGGGTGGACGCGGGCGGCCACTTGGCTCTGGGGTGCTCAGCTCTGCGGAACACTCCGGGCAATTTCCGATGCCCACGTTTTTGCTTCCACTCCCTCCTTTCACCGCCGGAAAAGAGCCCTAAATATATCCGGCGGCTTGGATCTGTAATCCTTTACTTTTCTTTTACACTGGGCTTCTCTAGTCCACAGGACAGAGACCATTTTTATTAGGAGTATCAAAATCCTTAAAAAAAAAACAACCCCACTATGATTCCCACCCAACCAGGCCTGAAGTTTGTCACACCGGGGAGTTACAACTCGGCCAAACACAAATCATAAACCCCTATCACCCCCTCCCCCAAATCTTCAAAAATCTTCATAGCCCCCTCAACAATAGGAACTCATTAAAGACACACCCTTCGGAGACACTATTTCCTTCTTTCATTTCCAAAATAAAGGGGTCGGGCTAGTGCTCAGAAACGCATTCTCGAGTTTTCGAAGTTTAAGTAAGTTAATAATTAACTAATGAAATGTAAAATTGAGGGCGAATAAGTCACTTTTGCATAACAAATACAACATCCCAGCGGCAGGGGTAAAGAAAAGCTGGAAAGAAATACCCCCTGCGAACAGAAAAGACGCAGGAGAACCCTCTACCTAGATTATTGCCCCCTCAGCAGTTTTGTAGGAAAATGTCCTGGGCGCAAGGTAGTTGCAAAGGGGTGGCGCGGGGCATAGCCGGGGCGCGTCGGTCCCACGGTGGCCTCTGGGTTGTCTGAACCCTCTCGGGTCATCGCTGTCTCCCACTGGCACTTTTTCGAAGCAGAGGTGCGCGCTATAAGGGCAGGCTGGCTTTTGCAGTGTGCTCCAGACAGAGGGGAATTGGCCTCGGGGTAGGGCTGCGGGGCCTCGGGACACTTGGGGACATTTACTGAGAAGCGAAGGCTAGTCTCGGACAGCGGGCAGAAGGGCAAGGGCTCCGGTCGGTTCGTGCAGCGTTGCGCGGACAGGGAAATGCAGCTCAGGGGGCGACACTCAGCCCCGGGGGCCCCGCTGGGGTCGGAATCGGAAGGAACATTGTGTCCCGGAAAGGCGCGAAGCCGGGCGTTGGAGGCCCCCTGGCCCCGCCGGAGCGGGGTTGCGGGCGCAGAAAACTTTCTGAGCGCTCCCGGAATGAACTTGAGCATCCCGAGCTTCTGAACTGCGAAGGCCTGGGCAACAGTGCGGCGGCAAGAGGCACCCCTCGCCGGCGCTTCCGCCGGGAGGGTTTACAGCTCGGCTGAAGCTTGGCTTCCCCGCCACCAAGGTCCTTTTGCAGAAACCTGGGGGAGAGCAACTAACACTGGATTTTGACTTAAATAAGTGCAACTCAGCGATCAGTCTGCTGCAAGTTGCCTTTGACTTTAAAAGAAAAATCGGTGGGAAAGAAACACCTGATCATTAGTGTAACAGGTCAGCAAACCTAACTGGCTCCTAGATGAAGGCGAATGCAGTGCTGGCTTTAATATGTATTTAGGGAAAGGGGAGGCGAGAACATTGTCTTAAGCCTGACGTCCCCAACAAACATATCCGGACAGAACTTGCTACACGTGACTTTCACACTCCCTTTCCACCACGAAGCTTCCTACCAGACTCTCACTTAATTTCTTCCTTCGCTCCTCTGACCTTTCCCGGCGGTTTGGGAAGGTAAGGGAAGATTTTTCCCCAGGACAGTTTACACCGGTCTCGGTTAACCCGCAGCCCGAAAAAGATCATCCCGACAAAGAAGAAGAAAGAAAAACTTAAAAAAAAAAAAAAAAGTTGAAAGCCATTTACAGACTTTCCACTTAAACTTTCTAAACCGGTGCCTGTCCCGGAAGCCCCCAGCCCCTCAGAGTCCCTGGCGTGGGATGGTCGGATCAAGGGGCTGCAGGCGTCTCTGGCCTTGATTCTCGCTCTTCCATCCCCCTTCCTTCCCAGTGCACAACACACACATACACACACACACACATCACAAGCCCGCCAGCGAAACATCTGGATCTGGGCTCGAGTCCCCGACACAAGGGCAACTACACGGCAAGACTGGCTCCTGGGGAGCCAGCGCAGATATGCGCGCGGGAGCGCGAGCGCACCACAGCACCACTCAGCGGGATCAGACCTCTCCCAGCGCTCTGTCAATCGAGCATCCTTCCGACCATCTGCTCCTGTCACCAGCCCCTGGCTCCGCCCCCACCGAGTCCGCCCCGTAGCCCGCAGCCAATAGCAACCTCCGACCTCTCTCCACCGCCCCAAACCCTTTCCACACCCCCACGTTCCGGGAGCCGGTTGGCTGCTGAACGCTCAGCGGAGCGACCGTAGTCACAGGGCGTTCCGGGTTCCTGATAGGCGGAGCGGCCCGTCACTCCGGAAGGCCGGGCCCGCCCACCCCACCTCGGTCTCTGGCTCTCTTCCTGCGCAGTTCTTCGCAGCCTCCGCGGGGAAGTGCCGGGGCTGCTCCCCGGGCTCAGTGGGCAGGCCGGCGAGAAGGCAGCCCCGGAGAGCGGCCGCGCGGTGTACGCGGTCCGGAGTGAGCAGGGAGCGGGGGTGCGGCGTTCTCTTGCTGGAGCAGGAGCAGCCCCTCCGCCAGCAGTTGCCGCCACCCCGACTTTCGTTCCAGTTGAGGCTCCTCCCGGGCAACATGTCAAAAGCCGCCACCGCTACAGCTGCCGCCGCCACCTGGGGAAGAGTAGCAGCAGCGGCGGCGGCGGCGGCGGCGGCAGCGGGCGTGCGGGGGCAATAAACCGAACCCCGCGGGCGTCCTGCGGGCCAGGGAACCCTCTCCGCGCTCACAGCTCCGGCGGGCCCCGCGCCATGTGCTGAACCATGTCCCTCGCCGCGCCCCCGGGCTGCGCATGGGGCAGCGCCTGAGCGGCGGCCGATCCTGCCTCGATGTCCCCGGCCGGCTCCTGCCGCAGCCGCCGCCGTCCCCGCCACCGGTGAGGAGGAAGCTCGCGCTGCTCTTCGCCATGCTCTGCATCTGGCTCTACATGTTTTTGTACTCGTGCGCCGGCTCCTGCGCCGCCGCGCCGGGGCTGCTGCTGCTGGGCTCGGGGTCCCGCGCCGCCCACGCCCCGCCAGCCCTGGCCCCAGGTCCCGATGGGACTGCCCCCAAGCTGCCGTTCCAGGCGGTGCCGGCCACCCCGCCGGTTGCGGGCAAGGAGCCGGCCGAGGGCGCCGGGAGCCAGGAGGAGCAGAGTCCCGAGACGCCAGACTCCCCTAGCTCCATCTCCAGCTTCTTTAGTGGATCCGGGAGTAAGCAGCTGCCGCAGGCCATCATCATTGGCGTGAAGAAGGGCGGCACGCGGGCGCTGCTCGAGTTCCTGCGCGTGCACCCCGATGTGCGCGCCGTGGGCGCCGAGCCCCACTTCTTCGACCGCAGCTACGACAAGGGCCTCGCCTGGTACCGGTGAGTTTCCCTACCGCGGCCGGGGCTAAGGGCCGGGGCGGCAGAAGAGGGAGACGTGGCATGTGCTGGGGAAGTGACAGGGGGACAGCCGCCGACCACCGGGCGCGGGGAGGGGCAGACAGGAATAACGCACGGCGCCCGGAATCCCGCCCCAGCGTGGTACGGGGTGCGCGCGGCTCCGCTCTCTCCACAACGCGTAGAAACTTCTCGAGGAGCTCTGGCGGCCCCGTGGCCCACGGTGCCCTTAGAATTAGTCAAAGAAGGGGGCTAGCCACTGGGATGGCGCTCAGGGGAGCGCGCAGCCCTCTCACTGTGGCCGTTTCGCAAACGAATCGATCCAGTGTGGCTTGTATTTAATGTTTCCTCTCAGAGCCCCGGGACGTTCTGCTCCCAGTCGGTCACAGTCTCCACCCTAGACCAACTTCTGCAGCAGCTTCTGCTCCCCAGATGGGGATGGGGGTGGGAGAGACGGCGTCTGTAAACTTTTTTCCTACAGTCCTCCTCCTTGCTGGAACCCGAAAAGGGTTAGACCCGCCTGGCTGGCGGGCAGCTTGGGCTCGGGAGGGTGAGCTGGGCGGGTGGCCCTGCGCCGCCTCCGCCTGGCCCACGGGCGGACGGGCTGACCCGCGGGCGGCGCGGAGCGTGGAGCGGTGCTGGTCCCTGTCGGGCAAAGGCGTGCACTGCAGCCGGCGGGAGCGGCGCGCAGCTTTGAAGGCTCCAGGGCGCCCCGGGCTCAGCTCGCTGGTTTCCTCCTCCTGGGCCTGGGTGCCGGGAGAGCGCAGGTAGGGACCCCGTGTCCGCGGGCCCGGTACACGTCGGGGCCCTTGGAATGTAAGGGGCTCATTGGTTGGGAAATGTGCGTTGCTCCGGGATCGGGGCTTCCGGGAGCTCCGGGTTTGGGGTTCCAAAAGGACAGCGGCCCTCAGGGTCATTCATAATCACGACCTCTGCCCAACGCTTTCCAAAGCTACCGACATTTGGGGTGAGCTTCTGGGTTGACCGAGCTTCCGGTGGGGCCCGGATGGGCAAGGGGGTCCACACTCCGGCCTTCGGAAGCTTGGTCGCCTCCCAGGGGCCCCGGCCAACGGCCCCCACCCGTTCTCTATGGCCCTCAACCCCAACCCTCCCAAGTAGGACTCCATCAAGTCCCCCGGCAGGCACCTTCCAGGCTCGAGCTGCTCGGGACTTCGGGAAACAAAAGAGAAAAGTCGAACCGAACCCCATTCCCTGCTCCCATCCCCCTTTTTAGGCCCCGGGAGAGAGAAAAGGGGGCTGACCCAGCGGATTAAAATCGCTCTCTTTCCAGCCTCGTTCTCTCCCTCCCTTTTGTCCTTAATGTTTTTATTATTGTCAGGAGTTGCCTATGTTTCGAGGTTTAGTCAGCCGTGACAGTCACGCTTCCCACCGTTCTCGGGCCGTGGACACCGGCTGTTTAAGAATGGGGGCTCGGGAGTCCCGACGTCTGGATTCACATCCCGGCTCTGGCGGCTTGCTGGTGGCGCCGAGCATCAGTGCTCCTGTACGTGCAGTAGGGATCCTGTGGTTTCCACCCGGCGGGGAGGAGTGCGCCAGTGCGCTCGGGTGCCTGGCTGGCACGTGGGGGCCTCTCCGATTGTTACCCGGGCCACGGACGGCATTGCTGTTCTTCTCCCACCTCTTCCACCGGGATGAGGGTCCTGGGGGCCGGGGTGGCAGGCTATAAGGCGCTCCCTTCCAGGGGGAATCCACCAGAGGCCAGAGGCAGCCCGGGCTGTTCGTAGATGAGAAAACTAGGGGTCGGTTTGGGAGGAACTGGCAGGGGAGAGCGCTGGATCCGTCAAGTCGGGCGGTCGTAGAAGCACCTGGGGCAGGCTATGGAAATCCCCACAGGAAGATTCACGACGGCTCTTAGGCGGCCGCGCTACACCTGCTAAGTTCCTGTTGATTGACTCAAAACTGCTGAAGAAAGAAAGAAGCCGCCCTGGAAAGCCTCGCCGCGCGCCTGCAGCGGGGAGCGCAGCCGGGGAGCTTCGGGCGGGACTAGGCGCCCGCGGACTGCCCTGCGAGCCGCGGCGCCCGGCTGCTGCACTTCGGGGAGGCGGGAGGCTCGTGGTCTTCCCTAGTCAACCCCCCACCCCCACCCAGGCGGAGGGGCCGTACGGAAGGGGCGAGGAGGCCTAGGGCCGGCGGCGCTCACCCCGCGGACCGGGTGACGGGCGGGGCAAACCGGACACCCAGCAGCTCGCCCCCACGCGCCGCGATCCCGGGCTATCCCAACGGCGCCCGGCGGGACCGCAGGCTTAGCGGATGTTTTTCAGGGAGAGGGAAAAAAGTCTTCCAAAATGCCATCTGCTTACTTAATTTTTTAATTGATTTAGAGTATTCTGGATGTCTGGGCCAATGTGTGGACTCAGTTATTTTGAAGGCAGCCGTTTTAACTTTGAGCAGACCCCACCGGGAAGGGATACGCCTGTCCCAGAACGCTTTTCCGAAAATCCCGTGCCCTGGGGAGCAGCGCTCGCCCTGGCTGGAGCTCTCTGGGCTCAGCCCAAGCCCTGCTGCTCGCGGGGAGGTGTGCGCTCCATTGTAGCTCCCGCTGCGTCCGCACAGTCAGGCCGCATACTGGAGCAGAGTATAAATAATAATTAACCGGCGAGCGTTGCAGTTCGGAAACGTGGTTAAAACAAGTCCTCAGAACCAGAGCAGAGGAGAGAGGGGAGACATTTTGGAGGCATTTAGACATTCGGGAGGCATTAAGAAACTATGGGCACGGATGGCTGAATCCGATAGGCAGGCTGACAGTCTGCAGGAGAAAAGGGCTTGGCTATGTCTGAGCAAGTCGTTAAGGGGTTTAATCCGTGGGTACACGGTCCTGTTAAGTGGTCTCACCCGTAAACCCAGGGCCTGGGCATATTTGCATCAAGTCTTAGAGCTTGTTAGTAGCTCTTTCCACTTGGCATCAGGAGACACGATCGGCCGGAATCAGAGAGGGGATTGGGGTGGGATCGGAGCCTCCCGGCGTGGAGACAGGGAGCTGACCTTGCCTCCCGCCAGGAATCACACGCTTTTCGGCTGCCTTACCTGCTACAAAAATCTGAGGTGCTAATGGGTGTGTTTCATCTGCTGGGGACCCGACTTTGTTTAGTCTGGGATTAAGACGCGTGTGGGTTTTGTTTTTTTGTTGTTGTTTTTTGTTTTTTTTTTTCCCGGTTTATTATCCAGCTCGCTTTTTCTTTCTCTGATCAGGCCTCCCAAACTTAACAGGTGTTTAAAGGACCCCACGGAGTAGCCCTTCCCTTTCTGTGTCATGGTTGTGAAGGTGTTGGAAAAGTAGGGAGCACTGGTTCAGGAAACCCTTACATAGGCCAGGCCTGGAGAAAGCACCCACCCCTTACATTTAGGCTCTGAATATGGGTTTAACCTTTGAATTTAAAATGAAATATGTACTTTTCTTTAATCAGTTTCTCTTCTTGATTTGGCTTAAGTATAGTAGATTTTCATGAATTTTAATGACCCCAGTTTGGGAATTAAGTTAGCTAAATATTGTGTGATTTTTTTTTTTTTTTTTAAATATAAAGAAATGTGCCTTAGGACAGTGGCAGAACTCCTTCCCCCACCTTGACTCCTCTTTCCATTTTTGGCTGTACAAAATAAGCTGACACTTCAATGCTGTGGCCACATTAAAAAAAAAAGTGTAGTGTGTGGGTGGTTTAATGATGTTGATAGCTAACACTTACTGAATGTTTTCCCTATGTGCCAGGCACTGTTTCAAGTTTTACAGGATTAGCAAATTTAATCCTCATTACAGTCCTGTAAAGTAGGTACTTTTACAGGCAAAGACACACAGGCACAGAGAGGTTAAGCAACTGGCCCAAGGACTCACAGCCTGAAAGTGGCAAGGCTGATACATAGTTACCCAGGTTGTCCTGGTCCACAGGTCACGCTGTGCTGTGCTGTCTCGCTTAAAGTGACCCAAGCATGATGCTGGTCACATCTGAGGAGTTGAAAATGGGGTTTGGTTTGAAGGAGTTAGCGTTTTCTGTTTTCACCTCCCGTGACCTTGGTCTGGATTGCTCATTTTGTCAATTTTAAGAGTATCCACTCCAGAAGAGGCCAGCTACTCCATCCAAAGGTGACTGATAACTAGAGTAAGGGTAATGACATCACTACAGAAGTTTAATTTCTCTGCTGCATTGGACAGTTGGAGTCCATGGAGTCATTAAAATGACAAAAATATCACTCAAATATAAAGACAGAAAACATAGGGAGTGTCCCTACTGAGAGCCGATTTATTCTTTTCCATTTGCCTTTTTTAAGGCTGGGGAGGTATGTGGAGAGGACATAGGGTTAACTAAGATGTTACAGAACTTCTTGGAATGAATTTATTCATTAAAAAAAAAAAAAATACAGTGCCCCAAATCAACACTGAAAACGTGTACTCATTAACCAGAAGATAGTTGTAACTAACACTTGGAGCAGATTTCTTTAGAAGTAGATTCTAAAACCCAGTCATTTAAGAAATCTCTCTTGAAAGCCAGTAGCTGGAAGTAGTAACTTTTCCTGCATTTTCAATTTAACAAATGCTGAGAAAACTAATGTCTCCCGTGTTTTCCCTCTGCTGGTTCTGAAAACCTGGTGGCAAGGACTGCTTCTGTCTTCACCGAGGGAAATTTAAGATCCGATCTGATTGGAGATAATCCTTTTTGAAGTAATTTGCACTTTCTCAGTCCTGGAGTTTAAACCAAATATGCAACTCACTTCAATCTGTTGGGTGAAGATCAAAAAATTTGCATTTATATGCAACAATTTGAAATACAAACCATCATGTTACAAAGCTGTCAAGATTTATTAGCAAGACAGTGTAGCATGTGTTGAACTCTGGTTTTAATTAGGCACCTAAATTAGACCATAAAATGGTTGATTAATTTTTTACAAGTTGAGGGGAAAATATAACATAAATTAACCTAATCATAAGTGTTTTCCCAGATGTTCTGAGTTAATAAAATAGTCAATATCTAATA